ATGTCTCCTGCAACCATGGTTCCGAGCCCATGGGTCCAATTACTCACTTCCTCCAGGTAGCTGGCTGTGACCAAGAGATCACCACACCCTTGTCCCTTGTCAGCTCTACTATATACCTGGATATTCTTACAGTACATACAAATAAGCTTGTTCAAAATTTTAAAAGCATACCCTTTAATTCTTGGTGCAAAGGTAAATTGCAAATAACTACTTAGTGAAATGTAACGAAGTTTGCAAGTTCCAGGGTGAAGAAAATGGGTAAGTGCTCAATTATTACCTGAAAGGTTGGTGGTTGAATTTACCCAGAGGTGCCTCAGAAGACAGACCTAGCTACCTGCTTCTGAAAGATCATAGCCTGGAAAACCCAATGGAGCACAGTTTTACTCTGCACACATGAGGTCACCATGTGACTCAATCAACTCAGAAGCAACTAACAACAGCAACAAAGCAGTGAGTTTTGAAATTGTGAAATTCACATGAATGAGGTTTATTCTAAAGCTCAGCCATTAAATATGTATACAATGTTGGTTGTTAAATGCCTGGAACAACCCTTTGTTACATGTTAACAGCTATTGAGCAAATATTCTCAAGGTTCCCTCATTTTGCTGCTTTTCTTTATTTTCCTCTTTGCTAAATTCCCGTCTTCCATAGGCTGTGATGGTTGCTGATCTGTAGGGATAGAAGTGACCAGGGGGGAGAACTAGGCTTTTAGGAGAAACTTTGAAACAAACAATGACCATTGTGTGTGTGGGTAGAGAAATTATAAGGTACACTGCTTGTCCTCGAGGAGTTAATATCTAAATTCTTATGGGATCTGAATAAGATGTTCCCTGGCTGAAGTACTTTGTTTCATTTTGGAGTCTTTTCCACTGTCCTTTCAAAACCAAAACCAAAACAAAACCCACTGCCACTGAGTAGATTCCAACTCCTGGTGACTCCATGTGTTACACACGAGGGCTGCTCCATAGGATTTTCTTGCTGTGATCTTTATGGGAGCAGATCACCAGGCCTGTGTGAGTTCCAATTGGCAATCTTTCAGTTAACAGCCCAGTGTGAACTATTGGTACCATTTAGTGACCGTCATGGCCTTACTACTCCCTGCAAAAAAAGTTTCATTTTGAACCAGTAGTGAGGGTTAGTCAAGTCTGGTAACTTCACCATACAGTAGAGTGGGGCAGAAGAGCAGAGGAGTGATGCTTTGGTATACTAAATGTTTCCAAGAAAATGTAGCCAGTGAGAAAGAGAAGTTTAAAGATCAATTCTATCATTTAAAACTACTTCTGTTTTTTGCAGTGATCACTGGAGCAGGAGATGGGATTGGAAAAGCTTACTCATTGGAGGTAAGTTGTGTTCCTGGAGGCTTTCACTTCCCCTTGCCCTGGACACATCAGAGTCATTGAAACATCTGTTCCCCAAACTAGGTTTCTGACTAGAAAAGTAGTATGAATTAATTTTAAGAAAAAAAAAAAATTTTCTATAATAAAAGAAAATAAAAATTTAAATCATGATCCCATCCCCATAAACCACTTTTTAATACAGTAATACTTAAAGGAGGGTACCACCTCTTAGGGGTGGAATTTGTATAACCAAAAACAAAACAAAACAAAAAACCAAACTCACTACCGTGGAGCTGAATCCAACTCCTAACGACCCCTCCTTGGGTTTCCGAGGCAGTATCAC